GATTCTGCCGAAAAAGGAAGCTTGTGATTGCAACAATTCCAGGTAAGTCCTTATTGGCTTCTCATTCTTCTCTCCTTCTCTCTTCTTCTTTTCTCATTCTCTCTTCTTCAGATCTTCTTCTCTCCCTTCTTTTCTCTCTCTTCTCTTCTTCTTCTTCTTCTTCTTTCCTCTCTTCTTCTTCTCTCTCTTTTTTTTTCTCTCTTATTATTCTTCTTCTTCTCTCTCTTCTCTCGACAGAATAATCTTATTTTTTCTTTCTTTTTCCAACTTCAACCTTTTCCTCCTCCTTTTCTTTTGCTGCCATGTAGAGACATAAGTTACATAACTTCCCTTATATAACTTGCATTTTCTTTTGCTGCCACGTCTCTTCAGAAGCAAAATTATTATTGGTTTCTTTTGCTGCCACGTCTTTGCCATGTCTTATCTGAAACTGGTTGTTTAATTTTTAATTTATTAGAATCAATCTCACTTTTTATATTACCTATGACCTCCAACATGAATGGTACTGTACATAAATCATTGGATGTCCCATAATTGGTTTTTAAAATTAAAACTTTGACGGTGTGTATTTGAAAGCTTAGGAAGTTTCACAGTAAAGTAGTAGACTACTTAATTTTACTTTGAAATAATGTTTGAAATCAAAAGTGAGAGCAATATTCAATCTCAATTTTTTTTATTCAACATTTTATTTTCCCAATTTAATTGATTGGTCAAATAGGATTTCAAGTGAAAATTTAAAAACAAAAAATTAGTTTTAAAGTTAATCCTGTAACTAATTTGAACTACTTCATTAGAGTGAACTTTCAAATTATTTAATTGATTGGTAAAATATGTTGAATATTGCTTTCAAATAATTGATTTAGTTGACTTTTACATCTTTATATATATTATTACATCTTTATTGGGTGGGTTTTTTTTTTTTTTTTTTTTTAAACGTGCGCCTCGCCTTGCGCCCCAGGTTCAAGGAGACCTTTGCGCTTTTGTGCGCCTTGAGCCTTTAACAACTATGCTTCAGGTTGTTCCATATTGACTTCCTCTTCTAAACTCCCATTCATAAAAGTTGTATTCACATCCATTTGATGTAACTCTAAATCATAATAAGCGACTAATGCCATGATATTTTAAAAGATTTCTTCTTAGATACTAGAGAGAATGTTTCTTTTTAATCTCTTAATTCATGGCACTAATCTATTGAATAAAATCATTACTATTAATGGCTTGTGCATATGTAACCAAATTCATATATATCTCACTATATATCAAAATCAGATTCTTGCAGATATATCACATAGTCATCCGGAATAGCAAACCTCATTTCTCTTTGAGATCGTCTTAATGTTATTCTTTATGATTCTTTTACAATCTATTTATTGGTGATAATCTCATTATAGAGTTGTTGATTATTCAATTATTTTTCGTTGTTATACAGTTCAACAACTGAAGGAATAATTATTTCTTTAGAAGTTATGGGTAAAGAAATTTGTACCCTAACTTTTTAAATAATCGCATTCTTATTTTTTATCACTCTCACTGACTTTACCATTCTCAATGAATATGACATTACCGGTTTTAATAATTATTGTACTATGTTTAGGATAGTAAAACTTATACCCTTTTGATTACTTAACATCCACAACATTATTGGCAACGAGGAATTACTTAACATACTCCTAACCAATTCTATAAGAGTACGATTACGCTTTACAGCTACACGCTTCTACTGTGGCATGTATAACAAAGTATATTGAGCACAAATACCATATATTTCAAGTAGTTTAGCAAACGGTTAGAGTATTAACCCATTTCATAATACTTTCCATAATATTCACTACTTTTATATGACCTTATGATTTTCACTTTTTTATCTAGTTGTTTTTTTAACTCAATTTATATATACTTCAAGAGTACCTACTGCTTGAGATTTTTCATTCAACAAATAGATATATCCATAGCATGAAAAATTAATTATAAAGGCAATAAAATATTTTTCTCCACCAAAAGATGGAATATCAGAAGGTATACAAATGTCCATATGAATAATTTTAAGAAGAATTAATTATGACTTATTTCTTTATGTGTTTGGTTTATTTACCCTTAATACAATCTATACACACACAAAAATCAGTAAAGTTTAGATTCAGGAGAATCACACCATTTACTAATTTTCCTAACATTTCACTAGATATTGACCTAGTCTTTTATACCATAAGAAAAATAAATTTTCTATTAATTGAATTACGCTTAATTCTAACATTATGATGTAAGATCAAAAGGTTTTTAATAAATAAACTATCAAGTTTGAATTTACAAAAATCATTAAAAATAATACAATAACTCACAAATTAGAATTTCTTGAATAAATATCATTATCAAATTTAAATAAAAAACCATTAACATAAAGTTTTGAAATAAAATCAAATTATAGGATATTGAATAAATATAAAAAGTTTAAAATAATTTAAATAAAATTCACAGTCTAACATTAAACATAATGTCACAATAGTTTCAACGAAACTTTTATCTAATTATCAAAAATAAGAAATTATTATTTGAATTTGTGGTTTAGGCTATAAGAAATTATTGCATCTATTAGAAACATAAACATTAGTACTTAAGTCAACCTATCACGTATTAGAAAGAATTTCAATAAGTAATTCGAAATATACAAAATCCAAAAGCTTACCATTTTTTTTTTGAATCATTCTTTATATTTCTTGTACTCTTTCTAAAAGTATTTAATACATTAATGACACTTTTTCATTATTACATTCCTTTCTTTTAGTAGATTGACCTAAATCTTTTAATTTTGGGTGTTACTCACTTAATGTCTTTTCAAGCTTATTCCTAAATTTCTTTCTAGCTAATGATTACATGCTGCTTAAGCCTTGTCTCCTCCTAAATTAACATAATGGTCAATTCATTCACTTTCACTTGTCTTAATTCGAAATGACCTATACTGAGTGGATAAAAAATTGAGAATAAATTTAATGAGAAATTTCTCATCCATAATCTTCCCCAAGGTTCTCAATTTTGTAGCAATATTAGTCATCTTAAGAACATACTTATACATGGTAAGAGTACCAACAAAATTGCATAGTAGTGATATAAATTAATAATTTTCATTTTAGGTAATTATCTACAATATGAAAACATTCTTCTAGTCAAATATTCCTTAACACGATCACTATAGGGAACAATTATTCGCATAACCATAATACTTAATCCGCTCGATCTCTCCCAAACTTTATGGAGAATCTTTTCTCCCTCACTATCTTTATCAGTAATAACAGTAGGTTTCTCAATTTAAAATGCTTAATCTTAATTTAGCACACCTAAATTTTGAACTTAACTTACTCATTCCATTATGAGAAGTTAGTTCTATTAAGAACCAGAACAGATGTAGCATGCGTATTAAGGGTTGTAATAAAACAAATATAATAAGATAAAATACTCACAACAATAATGCTTTGAGTTAACAACAAGTATATATAACTTAAAAATATAAATATAATGTATAACTATAGTACCACTTTGGGTGGCAACTATAAAATACTAATAATGATGCTTATAAGTATTTATATGTATACCTTTATTGGTAATGCATTATTTAATTAAACAAATAAGTTACCTTTGGATATCATATATCTACCTAATTAAAAAATACATACAACCCCTTAATTTTTATTTAATCACTTGAAAATCAATTCCCTTTGAAAAATTATTTCTCATGGTCAAATAAACCCAATATTCATGAATATCACAAAAAAATTATAAGTATCATAATTCATGAAATATTACAATTATGTTTACTACTAAATTAATATTCATCAACCATTATGGTTAGGCCACTTTAGTAACTACCAACCTTTACATAATATGAATATTAAATTAGATAGTAACTAATTTATGATTAATTATGTCTACTACAAAAATTAATATTCATCAATCATTATGATTGGGTCACTTTGGTGCCTACCAATCTATACATAATATGAATATTAAATTAAACAGAGATTAATTCATCATTAAATTATATTTACTACTAAAATTAATATTCATCGACCATTATGGTTAGACCATTTTGGTAGCTACTAATCCTCACATAATATGAATATTAAATTAGCTAGTAACTAATTAATCATTAATTTACCCATTTAATATTATACACACATACTCATACTGATCAATCCAAATTTAGGTAGGTTCAATCCTAGAAACTTAATAGTCCAAAATTTCAATAAAAAATATCCTTTTACTTTATATACATAATAAAATATTTTATTTTTATTTTCGGACTTGAAGATCATAATTGAATCAATTTAAAATTGATTCTCCAATATATACGTATGTTTGGATATAAAATAATAATTTATTTATATGTCTAACAAAATTAAATTAAATTTCTAAACTCACACATTATTCCAGAAATTTAATTTTCTACAATAAAATAAATCATTCTCCATTAATTTATCATATATGTAATTAATGATATATGATAACAAGTATATATATAAGTTTGTACAAAAACTAGTAGTTAGCATTAAAATTCATCACCTCGATTTATGCAAAAAGTAAAACCAACTATTTCAATTCCAATTGCTATTGTAGTCATGTACGGAATAAAAAAAACAAACTCATACATATACTTCAACTATCAAACAATTCAATAAGGATAAGAAATCAATTTACAGGCTTAAAAATCGATTATGTAAACCAAAATAAATTGATCAACTGATCCACCACACTAATCCATTATGCACCCACGATTCCAAAACAAATCTAATTATTTAATTTTCATTTTAATTTTTTATATATATTATTTATGCAAACTTTAGTGGAAAATAACGAGTTCCTAAACCATTAGCCCTGATACCACATGCAAATTTTAATTAATTCGTGTTAAGCCATTCATCACAAATAAACATTAATCCCATAATTTTATAACTTCATTATTCTCACATATCTATAATGCATAAATAAATATAGTTAGATATAAATACCTCAATCTGTGGTTGCAAATATCGTAAATCGAGATCAAGTCCAACATCGAAATCCTTTTTGCGGAACGAACAACGTGCTAAACTGCAATAGTCAAAATGTGGAAACCGATTTCTCTTTGTTGGCCTTTTGCATACATAAAACTTTTACGTATTGTATCATTAATTGTACATAATTGATAGAGTATATGCACTTTTATAAAGGCAGAGAGAGAACCAGTTTTCCTTTTAATAATCTAATTCCACTTTCCATCAAAGTAAGGAATAAGAAAGGAAAACACTTCTTCAATAAGTAATTACCAAAAAAGTAATTTATAAGTTGACCAAATAATATAATTGAAGACACCAAAAGTAATTCAGGTTTGGTATGATTCATATTACTAAGAACGGGTCGGCTATGGGTCACCGAGATGGAGCAAGTCCTCGCTGAATGGGCCCAGGTCCAGGAAATCATTATAGAAGCCCACATTATGATGAAAGAAGTTGGGCCCAAACAAAAGGAAAGAAGATAGATCCAACCTAGGAGTGATTGTAACCATCTATAAATAGACGGAAATGAGAGGGAAAAGGGGTTGGAAAATATTTTGGAAGTGTAAAGATTCTTTCTTTAGATTTGGGGAAAATTTTTTGTACTTTCAATTGGCGCCGTCTGTGAGAAGAATAACGAGGATTGATTTGAGGATTGATTGGGGAGGAAGATCTTTGGCACACAAAGCAATGACACAAGGGTACTTTTAGCCGAACATGACACAGGATGCAGAAGAATTCTCAAGAAGATGTGATAAATGCTAAAGGTACGGACCATTGATACACCAACCACCTGAAGAATTGTACGTAATGGCCATGCCATGGCCTTTCGCGCAATGGGGGATGGATGTGGTTGGCCCTCTGCCGACCGCAAGATCGTAGAACAAGTACGTTCTGCTAGCAACAGATTACTTCACCAAGTGGGTGGAAGCAGAGCCGTACCCTAGTGTTACCCAAACTCAAGTAAGACGCTTCATCTGGAATAATATTATCTGTCGCTTTGGCGTACCAAGGTCGATCGTTATAGACAATGGGACCAATCTCGATAGCAAGCAAGTGAAGGAGCAGCTGTAAGAATATGGAATTAATCAAAAGTTGGCAACAGTCAGCCATCCCCAGGCTAATGGTCAAGCTGAGATCACGAACAGGACAATATTTTCCTGTATCAAGAAGAAGTTCGAAAATGAAAAAGGAAAATGGTTGGATGAACTTCTGAACGTCTTGTGGGCTTACAGAACAACCCCAAGACGGCTGACTGGGGAGACACCATTCGCTATGGCGTATGGCGCTGAGGCAGTGATACCAATCAAGCATTTAGTTCCAACCGTTAGAAGCTTGGCGTGGAATCAAGAGCAGAATGATAGAATGTTAAGATTTAATCTTGATCTGCTGGAGGAGAAAAGGGACGCAGCTGCAATAAGGCTTGCTTCTTATCAGCAGATGCTAGTAAATAGCCATAACAAGAGGGTGAAACACAGAGACTTTGCCCTTGGCGATCTGGTTCTAAAAAGGAAGGTGGGGATAGTCAAAAAGATGTTTTCGCCATGGGAAAGTCCATACAGGATTGCAGAAGTCATAGGAAATGGGGCATACGTCCTGGAGACCATGGCAGGAAGGTTGGTCAGTAAACCATGGAATGCCACGTCTTTGAAAAGGTATTACCAGTAGAAGTAGAATTCAATTCCGAACAATATGCTCTTTTTGACTTGCATACTTGTAAGTGTACAAAATTCTCAAGTTTTATAAAAAAGAAAAGAAGAGAGAATTTATTTTGCTTAAGATTAATTGGCATTCTTTCCACATAGCAGAGCAAGTGGCAGCTGGCACTACGAGCCGAACGCCAAACTCTTGCATAAAAATGAATGTATGCCAAGTGGCAAGAGGCATTATAGTCGAACGCCAGGCACTTAGCACAGTTAGTGGCAGCTGGCACTACGAGCCGAACGCCAAACACTTGCTCAAAAATAAACTTATGCCGAGTGGCAAGTGACATTCTAGCTGAGTGCTAGGCAATTAGCAATGTCAGTGGTAGCTGGCACTACAAGCTGAACGCCAAACACTTGCTCAAAAATAAGCTTATGCTGAGTGGCAAGTGACATTCTAGCCGAGCGCCAGACACTTAGCAATGTTAGTGGCAGCTGGCACTACGAGCCGAACACCAAACACTTGCTCAAAAATAAACTTATGCTAATTGACATTCTAGCAGAGTGCCAGACACTTAGCAATGTTAGTGGCAACTAGCACTACAAGCTGAACGCCAAACACTTGCTTAAAAATAAGCTTATGCCGAGTGGCAAGTGGTATTCTAGCCGAGTGCTAGGCACTTATCAATGTCAGTGGCAGCTGGCATTACAAGCCTAACGCCATACACTTATGAAAAGTGAAGTTTAAAAATTAAAAATTGAAACTTGAAATTAAAGGGAAAGGTCAGGTATCAAGTTACCACCATATCATCTAGAATTGAAGAATGGAAGTTTTGCCAAAATTAGGTATTATCATTCCCTGTTCCTTCATTACAAAAGAATTCTGAGATACATGAAGATATATTAAAAAAAAAAAAAAAAACCTGATGCAAAAGATTGCAGAATGCTAGTTGGCACGATCTTCTCCGAGCTGTGACTCGTTGTTTCCCCCATCATTACCCTCTGGCCCATTGTGGTCCTCTCAATTCTTAGGTGTACCATCATCCTTGGAGGGAGAGTCAAGATGAATCACCCCCTCAGCTAGCATGAGTCTGTCAGAGGCAATTGAAGTAGAGGGGATGATAGTAGTAATTGGAGGAACGTTTAAAGGATGAAAGGGTGGAACAATCCCTGAGGCTGCAACCTCTCTGCATTCAATAAAGATATTGTCAGCAGGGTCGCAGGGTGGATTCTGGTAGTTGCTTGGTAGATGGATATCTAAAGAGGCGTCCAACTCATCCGGACCAGCACAGGAGCTAGATTCACCTTCAGGGGGAGAACGGTCAATAAAGCCGTCTCTATATCCTTCAGCATACCTGAGAGCACTGCTCTAGTGAAGCGGGCAAGGAGAGCTCTCATGCCACCCTCAACTTTGCTAATCATATTCAGCAAAGAAGAATGTTCATTTAAAAGCTTTTCCTTTGAGTTGGCATGAGTCAACCGGTTAGCAATAAGTGTACGCTGAAGGTCTCCCTTCTTAGCCCTCAATGAGTCCCTTTCATTCAGGGCAATATTCTTCTCAGTCTTTAGGACATCAACTTCATCCTGAAGAGAGTCCCGTTCAGCCTTAAGGGCCTCCCGTTCAGCTCTTAGGGCGTCCCTCTCATTTGCCAGAACGTCTTTCTCAGTTTTCAAGGCAGCAATTTCTTTTTCTGACTCGTTCAGCTTAGACTCAAGCTCAGTGATTTTGGCCTCAAGACGATTCTTCGCTTCAATGGATCTTTTATGGCCAGCAAAGAGAGACTTGAGCTTCTTGTTCAGAACCTCAATGGTCTTCTGAAAGGTGAACATCCCAAATAGAGTCTGCACAGAGGAAGGGAGGTTTTGGTCAGTTCAGAAGATAAAGAGTTAAAATAGAAAAGAGACATATCTCAATAAGAAGAAAAGTTACCTCCATGGCAGCTGCTGGGAACTGCCGGTACATATCACCAAAGGTCATCTTGTTCTGAATTTCAAGATCCTTGGGAGTCCAGAAACCCTTGTAGAAAGCAAAAGAAGTGAGGGGGTCTTGGTATAAAGAATCTGTATGGCCAATGGTCGAGCCATCTTCACGGTTAAGTAGAGGGCGCCATGGAAGAATGGATGGTGCTGGACCAGAGGTTCTGGCAGATTCACCCTCTAGAATGAAAAGCTGAGCTGGGGCATGGGTTCAGTAATCCTGAAAGAAGCCATCATGGTCCTCCGAGCTGGTGGGATGTCACTCTGGTCATGACCACCCTCAGGCATTGGCCTCTTTCCCAGACTTTTCTCTGACATACCAGCTCTAACTGGCCCTCCATTGTTCTGAGATCCCCCAGCATCCTGAGTGCTCTCTAAAGAAGTGTTAGACAGAATATTTGAAGGCACATTGGTGGGAGCAACAGGATGGGCCTTAGCAGAATGATCCATAACACGGGTCTCAGCAAGGATGGGTGTAGAAGGCCCGTCAGCAGAATGATCTATGACTTGAGTTATAACTGGAACAGTCACAACCTGTTCTGGAGCTGAGACAATAGAGGTGGCTGATGTGGTAGCAGGTGTAGAGGAAGATATGGTAACAGGGGTAGCAGAAGGGATGGGAGTAGAACGCCTCCTTCTACTGAAAGATGGAATCTGAATGCTCTCCATTGTAGATCCTAGGAGAAAGATGTCAGAGTCAGGAGTAAGCAAGTCTGTAGCTGAAGGGACGCTGTTCAGCACATTCTCTTGTAAGATGTCTAGCCTAGCCCTGCAAACGCTATAAATTAGGTCATCATGAGGTATTTGAAGGCATCTACAAAGAAAAGTACAAAAACGGGGAAGGCAACTTTCACAGTGGCATTCAGTGGGATGTGTTTTCAGTTTTTTATAACCAGAGATAGAGCATACTCCAAAGGTGGAGGGGATAGAGAAAGATTGGCCGAACGGAGTTCGTCAATTCCCACTGACACCAATCAAGTTTTGTCTCCAACCTTTTTCAAAAGAGTTCTTGTCCGTGCAGATCGATCGTTTGTCAATAGGAAAGAAATGATAATACAACTCACTTTGTTTGATTTTGTTAATTTGGTAGCAGAGGAGGAGGTCAATGATGTCAAGATTGAGACCCCTATCACGGTTCGAGAGCAGAAGGACTGAAATTACCTTAAGGAAGTTAGGGTTAACTTGTAGAGGGCAAAGCCCCAATTTTCTAAAGATGTAGCAAAAGAATGGGTGTAAGGGGAACCTAATGACGTTTAAGTGGACGACAGAGAATAAAATCTCCCCAGGAAGGAGACCCTCACCAGAGCTCCCATCTAGGTTTGTGGGATAGATCCTGAGAGAAACGTCATTAGGAATGCTATTTTTGAAACGAATGGCATTCAAATTAGAGGGAGCCATGGATAAGGGGAGGAATCTCTGATAATGAAGGTTTTTCTTTCAAAAAGGATAGTAAAAAAAAAAAAAAAAAAAAAACTGACCTTGAGGAAGGAGTTTGTGAAGTACTCAGCAATAGCACAAGAGCCAAATCGCGAAGGAAAAACTCGCCGGAGAAACTGAAGAAAGCTCACCGGAAAATACAGGAAGATGACAGAAGAGACCCGAGAAGACAACAACAGAGGATAAAAGTAGGATATGTTAAAGGAAGACAAGGATTGAGAGGATCAGGGTTTTTAAAGAGAAGAAATGGAGGTGACACAGAATTTGAAAGATTAAGGCAAAAGTGGCGTAGCAGATCTCGGAGTCTGGGTCTTCGTGCCAGCCGCTCGATTCCCTGTGTCATCACTTTGAGCCGTTAGACCAAGATTGTGTCTTTTCAATAATCTCACCCTAATTAATTAAGGGAGAGATTATGGGGGCAGATGAAGACACCAAAAGTAGTCCGGGTTTGGTATGATTCATATTACTAAGAACGGGTCGGGTATGGGCCACCGAGATGGAGCAAGTCCTCGCTGAATGGGCCCAGGTCCAGGAAGTCATTACAGAAGCCCACATTGTGATGAAAGAAGTTGGACCCAAATAAAAGGAAAGAAGATAGGTCCAGCCCAGGAGTGATTGTAACCGTCTATAAAGAGACGGAAATGAGAGGAAAAAGGGGTTGGAAAATATTTTGGAAGTGTAAAGTTTATCGCTTTAGATTTAGGAAAAATTCTTTATACTTTCAATAATATTAATCTGATATCTATTTTATTTAACCAATAAATAATATATCACATGCCCAAATCATATGGGTCACAATTAAATAAATAATCTTACATCAGAAAACTCCTCCCTCCCCCTTCAAAGACCCTCCCAATAATCCGAAGTAATCCTTATAGTTTCTCTTCTAATAACTATTAGTCTCTGTTTCAAAATTAAAAAAATAATAATAATAAAATATCAGAGATTAAGAGGATAAAGGGTGTGTTTAAATATCAGTAGAAACAGAATCACTCCTTTCGTGTCTCTGTGTGTGTGTGTTTTATGGCATATTATATATAAGAAATAAAATGGGTAATCAATTGCATATGGTATTTACCTCCTCATCATTTTTGGCCTTGTTTTCTTCTGATTTCTTACGTTATCCTGAAAAATGTTTCAATTGTTAATTAAGACACTCATGAACAGAAGAGACCAAAAGCAGATTCAAATATGTGTTTATACATATATATATATATATTTACTGTTAAGAAGCTCAGTCTTAGAGTCATTGAGTTGGGAAGCTGCAATCACAGTTGGTGATAGGAGGAGGCATCTCCTTCCAATTTCCGTGACCGCAGTTGTTGTTCTTGATTTTCTTTCTCTTCTACCATTTACAGGTACATTGCAGGAAGCAAACTCGCTCACAGTTGCTGTTAGCGACATTGCAATTCTTTGTTTATTTTGCTATCTTCACAGCCACCCGTTCGCTATGACGATGAGTTGTACTGGTTTTTTTATTGGCCACTCCCTCAGCTAGAATTACACAATTATCCTTGGTGACACTTTGTCACTCTCTCTGGCTAATATAGTGAGTTGCCTGACAATATCACGTATATTTATATATATATTCCCATTGTCTCGTATTAGTTATTAGGAATTTTTATGAGTAATGTAATTAATATATTATTTCTTTCTAAAATTATTAAGTTATCATTTTAAATTTAAATATGAATATTACTAAATTTTGAGATTTTTGAAATTTTAAAAAATAATTATAAATATATAGTCTTGTTTTGCTTTGACTTTTTAAATGAGCAACTCAATTGAGATGGAAGGTATATAAATATATTTGAAAAAATTAAACTGATTTCCCCTATAGATTGGGAAACTTACAAAAAGTACCCTTTAGTTTTAAAAAATTACTTGGACCTCCAATGACTTTAACAACTGATGTCATCAAAATTTTAAAATGTAATCCCTATTTTACGCTGCAAGTGTGCAAAAAAAAAAATAATAATAAATAAATAAATAAAAAAAGAAAAAAAAGAAAAGAAAACGACTATGTCCTGTACCTTTGGTATAAAATGACATGTGACCTTACTTTAATATAATGCTAAGACCAAATCGCCCTTTGTACCTTTCCAAATTTGTTTATTTCCATTTGGAAAGATCAAATTAGGATCGTTCCATATTATTAGATGATTATAAATTATAATTAAACAATAAATCTAATCTAATTAATAATTAATTTGTTTAAGTAGGATTAAATAATTAATAATAATGTTTGACAAGCAAGCTCCAAACGGGCCAACTAAGGATTTAAATTAAGGTATTTCAATGATACGGATAAGGTAAGTACTAAACACATGACATAAGGTAGCCCACATGACACTTAAAATTTTAAGAGTGACCAAGTTTAAACAAGGATAACTAAAGCTCAAAATCAAATGAGCTGATTGGGTTCCCAACAAGATGAGAAGCAAACTTTACGAAGCTGAATTGGTCTTCCAATGTATGCTGATGAATTGGTCTTCCAATGCATCCCAATTGGAGATAGAGGTAAATAATTGACAATTTTCCTAGGTGAATCTCCAAATTGGTGATATGAAACAGCATTTGAAAAATAAATGCTCATGTGATTCTTGTAAATCCTAGCAGAGGACACATTGGTTATGATGGTGTGCCAACCAAAGATTGAACATCATTCTCGATATTGTTGGGAGTGCCATACCAGGTTGTGCCAATGGACTGTGGGAAACTGCTGTGCAAGGTGAGCTTAAGTGTGCTTTAAGTTGTACATACCTGAGGGTGATGCAACCCAAACTTTCTTGTTACTTCTTGATGGACATGGAGGATACATTGATAACAGCTCTGGAATTGCAGTTGTAAGTGAATGGGGAAAGCACGATGATGAGTTTAGTATGAAGGCACTAACTGTAGTGGCATGATTGAATCCAGAATCATTGAGAGTGGTAATTGGAAATCTAGAGCACAAGGGGCCTCCAGAAAAATTAAATGCACAAATTAATTTATTCATTATGAAAACTCTGGAAATTAACTTGATTGTCGGAGGATACCCGACTGGGTGCCAGGCCTCGGTCACCATCCCTCTTCTTTTCTCTTGCAAAAAACATTGCTGATCCAGGTTGTGTATAATTTCACTTCAACAATAATTAGCCCTCCAAATGGTGCAGCTGTTGTCATATGGTTCATTTTTCATGGACAGACACTCCCCTTTTCTAGAATATTTAATAACAAAAACCTCTGCTCCATACACAACAATCATATAAAAGGTACCCATTTTAAGCAATTTTGAATGTATCCCGTGAAAAAAAAAAAAAATTTGGTCAAAATCCCATTCAGTCTTCATCGTATGAAAGCGTCTTACTTTTCCCGCATGTATATACATAGATCTATGTGCGTGTGTATATATACACACAGTACAATAACATGAGATTGTAGAATTTACCTTCTATGACTAAGTACTCGTCATATATGATCAAAGACAAATAGTTTTTAGTTGACATGAACTTTCCAATCACAAGGAAGTTTATTTATATCAGTTATTACTAGGTAAAGTGAGATGTGAGATATGATCTTTCACATCTCTATGCTTATTCTCATTTGGATAAAAAAGACAATTTCCATAAAACCAAAAAGAAACATAACTAAATTAATTTTTTTATTTATTTTTAATTTCTAATTACTCTTAAAGTGGTTACTATATATAAACAATATTGAACAAATAGGAGAGAAAAATTCATTTATAAACTCGTTTGACTTATATTTCTCAGTCAGTGTTTCCAGAAGTATTGAGAAAGACTATTTAGAATACATAGTGGGCCTGTTGAATTTCTCTTAATGATCTAACTTATGCTATATTTTGAAGAACCCAAACAACATGAGTACCTTAGCTCATTGGATATAACAATGTTTAATTTTGTGCATGTACAATGTTCAATAAAAGAATATCTCAACAAACCCCATTTTTTTTTTTTTTTTTTTTAATTTGGAGGTGGGGGGTAAGTTAATCTCAACAAATTAACCCAATTTCTCTGTAATAAACATTTTTAATTGAAGTTCTTAATCGAACCTACGCTCGAGATTTCTACTTCAAAAGTTACAGAATCCATCAATTTGTAGCCCTTTGATTCGTCATGAAAATTGCTTAGCAACATGAAGTCAGGAAACCCCAAGTTTTACTCGAGGCACAAAAAATGCTGCAACCTGCAAAGTTGCAATTTGTAAACATGGAAACTATTGGTTTAACAACTTTTCAGTTAAAAAAAAATAAAAAAAAAAAAATTCAAGAAAATAGAAATTACAATTAAAAACCAGAAAACAAAGATCAATTTTAACAACAGCAGGTCAAAAAAAAAAAAAAAAAAAATTGGTTTCACCTTGACGTTCCTCATGGTTGTAGTTGATGTGGTTTTTTACCCTCACCTTGTAAGAAAGAGGGATAAATGTTTTCCTTCTCCTCCTCTGGGATGGAGGAGTATCTTCCTGAATTTAAATTCAAAAAGGCATATACAGATATATAATAGCTTACTTCAGAAATTTAACAAGCCAAATTTTAGTCAAATTCAAAGAAAACATAATTAAAAAGAGCTCACACCACTTTTTTTGTTTGATTTTAAACTCTTTAGAGTAAAGGGCTCCTTGGCTAATTGATGAAAAATGACTAATCTTCCAAGTGTGAATGTGGTTATGTAGTTCCTTTTTCATGGAAAAAACCTCCCCTATGCCTGCAGATTTAATAACAAAAACCTCTGCTCCAAATACACAACAATCAGCTACGAGATACCCATTCGAAGGATTTTTGAATGTATCGAGTGAAAGAAATTGATCAAAACCCCATTCTGTCTTCATGCTATGGAAGCGCCTTACTTGTCCGATATCTATATATATAAATTTGTGATATGAAAATGATAGAACAATTTATAAATGTGTTATGAAGAAATTAGTTACCTTTCGATGGTTAAGTACTTGTCTAATTTATGATCAAAGACAAATAACTTGAAGTTCACATTAACCTCCCAATTACTTGGAAGTTTTTTTGTGTCAGCTATTACCAAATAGAGTGAAATGTGATCTTTCACATCTCTTCTCTTATTCCCATTTAGATAGGAAGACAATCTCCTCAAACCCCAAAAACGAAAAGTAATTTTTTTTTTTTTTTGTTCTAATAAACAAAATTGAAGAAATAAAGCAATTAAAATTCACACACACCATTTATAACCGCTCGCTTCAAAAACGTTCGATTCATATTTCTCAAGCTTTGTTTCCAGAAGGGCTGAAAAAGACTCTATTTTGAACATATAGTGCGATGGTTGGACATCTCTCAACGATCTTATAACTTCTGCATAGTTTGAGGAAAAAAAATTAAAAAAAAATTCAAACAAAACAACACTGTGCGTAAGCACCTTAGCTCATTGGATTATTATAACAATGTTCAACTTTTGTGCATGCATGCTAATTTAGATGTAGATTTATTTATTTATGAATAATGTGTGTGATGTAATGGTGTAAAAAAAAAAAAAAAAAAATACCTTACCAATTGGAGATAACAATTCACCAGCCATCTCATAGATCTCTAATATGGTAAAAACATGTAATGGATTGTGTGTGTGTGTATATTATTTATCTGCATTATTTACAGATTTTGTAGTTCTACCTTTGTAAGGAGTTTGCATGGATAGGACACTCGTTAAGCATTGAGTTTGGGTAATATATCCATAGAAGTTGATAAGAACTTTACTAGCTGTAAAGCTCATCAAATGGATAGTTGTCATTCCATGGAAAAAGAATAATTAGAATTTGTCACGCAACTGATTCTTAATCTAATGTATTTAGTAAAATTATATATTCATTTAGGATAAGTTTTAATGGGCTAGTGTAACGGGTGGGCGCTTGCCCATTTACCCAAAAGCTCGAACTGTTAGGTAAGGCTGCATACCCACCCATTTATACCCAATCTCTTTCCCATCCGATTCCGATGTGGGACAAAATGACCCTTGTTACATTCTCCCCCACACAAACTCGCAACGCCCTCATTGCGGTTGGGTCACCCTGCCTACCCGGGTGGACTTACCCGGACGCCTTCCGGGCCGGGCGCTTGGCGTGGCACCGGATCAAGGACTGGGTTTGGCTCTGATACCAACTGTAACGGGTGGGTGCTTGCCCATTTACCTAAAAGCTCGAACTGTTAGGTAAGGCTGCATACCCACCCATTTATACCCAATCTCTTTCCCATCCGATTCCGATGTGGGACAAAATGACCCTTGTTACAGCTAGCTAATCAAAACTCATTTTTTATTATGGTTAATTGAAAGAAAACCTATCTGTGGAGGGAAAAATCTCCCTCCAATGCGACCTGTACACGTCATCGCAATATAAATACCCATCACAAATGTCAGAGGCCCATCCTGCTCAAAGCCCAGTTCAAG